AAAACTTAGCCACTCTGCTACATGCTCCATGCAGGTGTATTGGGTGCGATCCGATTTCAGCGTCCGCCGCAGTTTTGCCTCTATGTGGTAATGGAAGGAGCGGGCATTTCAGGTGCATGCAGGTTTGGCATGTTGGCGTGTTCCACCCCGCCCCCGCGCCAGCCACAAAACACCCAACACATGGCGCGGCAACTTGTCCTGGAGTGCACAGGAGCCAATGGTTCAGACACGAGATTGATGTGAGTGTCAAAGAACTTTGTCAATTGCCGATCGTAAGCAACGATGCTGGCTGCCACCCTTTTCAGAGCGAGAGGAAATTCATCAAAAACACAGCACAGAGCCGTTGCACCGCAACATGCTGTGGGGAGGTCCCTCTCACGCAGACAAGCTTGCCTCTTGTTCTTTGCAGGGAACTTGAGACTCCACTACCAGATCCGCTCATGGTAGGTAAAATGATTCAGCAAAGAACAAGGTTGAGCGAGAACACACATGGCTGTACCAAGCATTAGCAAGACCCACTTGCACACAGAAGGTAAGACTTAGCTCATGTGTGCCTTTACCATGTTGCACCTTGGAGTTCGTGCCATGCTGCCGCAATTCGCGCGGGGCTCGGAAGGAAGGAGTTTAGTGTTTGGTTTTACCCACAGGGAGACCCCTTTAAAGGAAGGATGGCTCAGATTTCTAATCAGCGGCTCAATGCCTTTCAAATGGACCCAGGGCAGGTCGCCGTGAACTTGTGAAAGAGTTGAATAGACAGAGGGTTGCTCCGAATCATGTAGACCAAAACGCGAAGACCAAGCCAGTTTGGTTTCCTTTCGTGCTGCATGTGTCGCGGCCAATTTTCTGCTTGCCAGGATCTTCGGAGCAACCTTGATATGGAGAACCGGGTTCCCAACAGTTGCCCCGGTTTGACAATGCCCCCCATGTATTTTGCTTGGTCTCAGCACAGTCTGAGAAGGCATGGCTTCTTTGCAGAGATGTTCCTTCGCCTCCCGTTGTTTTAGCCACCGGAAAGTGGGAGTTTCCAGTGCCGGGCCGGCTGATCACAGAGCTGCAGGAGTTTCCAACGAGGTGTTTGACAACACCAAGGGCAACGTTGAGCTCATTTTCGGTGGATTCTGCTAGTATTGAATAAAACCTGTTTTGGAAAGTTAGCTGTAAAAGCTCTTGGGATGCCATGACAACGGTGATCTGGTGGCCCGATGGCCGCTTACGCCGAAGATGCACAGAAGAAACCTCGATACGTGCCACCTTTGCGTACGAAGCAATTGAGTGTTGTCCTAGATGGATATTGGACCCATTAGACACGCATAGCACATGTGTACCAAGGAGTCATTCTTGGTTCTTGGCGTCATAGGTGCTGACGGGCACAAATTGATCGTCAAGGCTCTAACCAGGTTTCCAGATTGAAGGGCTTAGGTTTGCATACATTTCACTTGGAGCAAGCGTTTCATCATTGCACCGCATTTCCGATACACACACGCAGATGCTCCCAGAGGAGCAATTTCGACATTGCATTAACCTTGCGCCGTTGCATCATGGGGACAGGGCATTGGCCTTTTGATGCAAGTGGACTTTGTCGCGACCTGTACTGCCAGGCTTATGTATATATATATATATTTGTCCGTAAATCGTGGTTGTAACCACAACCTTTTGGAGGGCAAGTTTCAGGCTAGTTTCCGTTTTGCGGCTGGAAGGGGACCCATAACGCAAACCCTGAGCCACTTACTTGGGGAACAGATAGCAAGGCTTAAGGAGACTGATCACCAACACACTCAGTTGCAAGCAATGACCAAACCGGAGACACATCGGGAGCACACACATGTTCCGGGAACAAAGAGGAAACCAATACAGACAACAGTTCAAGCAATGGGAGAGTCCGGCTTGGTAGAGTTCAAACACGGCGACTACTAAAATGAAGTTTGTGCGTTGCTCCAATCATTGGGCGCAACAAACGCATTGTGCCGCCCCTTACCGCTTTCTGCTCAGCATTTCGAGTGTCAACAAGCCCTACACACTTCACACATCATGCTACTTTACCCAGCCCAACTTGGCATCACATGGCTGCGCTTCACATCAGACCACGCCTTGCAGCATCATTCTGCACGGCACATTTTCACATATACACCCTGAACACATGTACATCTACATATGCGCATGCGCATACACGTGGAATCACATGGCACCAGTCCAAGCTACAGGTAGCATTGGACATGAGCATGGTACACTCAAAGCAGGCATGTGTAGAGGAAAATGTACTGCGTAGCATTGTAGCATTGTGGAGATATCTCATTTTGGGATCCTTCTTTCAGTTGTCGGGAGAGTAGATGACAGGAAGCACATTTGGCGGCCGCCCACAAATGATCTCACTATATACAGTTGTCGATGTTTCAACAAACGTCAGGGGATTACTCAAATGAAGAATACGTAAGCAATACTCCCCTGAAAACGAACCCGGCCATTTGTAGACAATTCTCTTTTGTGCCATATCTCACAGAGATCGGGCCGTCGCGATGGTGAAAGACATCTTCGGGCGCGACCGCTTCCACTGCACTTCACATGGCTGCAGCTGCTGCATCCTCAGCAAGAGAGGCAGAGCGAGGCTGAAAGATGAACGGGTACTCGTTTGTCGGGGCATGAAGCTTTTTTGTCGTCGATTCCGAGTGAACATGGGTCTTTGAGCTGGTTAATTTTCCCAAAAGTGCGCGCTCCTCTTGTTCCAGCTCAGTCGCTCTGGACCCATGCAAGGATTTCGCCTCTCGGGCCATGGTACTGCATTTCAAAGCCCGCGTTTATAAAGAAAATCCAGGGACCTCTAGCCTTGGTCAGCTAAACCCTACTTGCTGCTCCACCTCCACCTCAACTTCTTGGGTAAGTGGTTGCCTCCACCTTCACCTCTGCACCGCACCACTCGACTCCACTCCACCATTTTTGCTGATACATGTTCCTGGTGCGCGCTGTGAGGCGGTGAGTTCCAAAGCGAGACTTGGTTACCGACGGGATTGCTCGGGGGCAAATGGATCGGGGTTCCTTGGAAAAGGAGTTGCTCTCACTCAGCGAGGTATTCTCTCACTTGTGCAGGTTCACAGCTGACATTGTTTCCGTGTTGACATGTTTTGGGCGTTGGCTGTGGCAAAACCGCGGACCCCCGCATTCAGGACGTTTTCAGGAAGTCAAAGGAAGGAGGATCCTCACCTTGTTTGACACATCCCAAGATTGCGAGCTTTTGTGTACCCACTGCGGAACAGTCATCATTGTTGACTTGTTTGGATCGTGGTGGTGGCTGAACTGAATCGGCATGGTTTATGGGCGAAAGTGGCAGGCTTTCGCCAGCGACGTATGTGTCAAAGCTAGATGGACCAAACTGATTGATGATTTCTTTTTGGTTTCTGAGGCTGCCCAGTTTCGACTCGATTTCCAAGTCTCGTATCGCTTGAGACGCGAAATCATCGATTGATATGTTTCTCTTCGAATTGGATGTGGGTACACGGAGAAAGGAAGTGACATGTTTGAGTATGGAATCGCAACTGTGGCTGCCGATTGTCCTGCCGCGGCCATTGTTTGGGGATTCGCGGCCGTCGTTTGGGGAATCATGGCTCAAGGCTTGATGGTCCTTTCAGCAACCATCCACACTCCTTGGTTTTTGGCCACTTCTTAGGGGACGTAGAGCTTTAGCCGGGTCATTTTTCTTACTTTCCTTCCTTCCTGCCTCCTTCCCATTTTTTCCCCCTCTCTCTCTCTCTTTCTCTCTCTCTTTCCCTTTGAGGAAGCTCAGCGCGACATTGCTCGGGCAGAGGAAGAAGGGACTGCCCGGCACGGTTTTGCGCCCAGCCGGAGATGGGTTGGCCAAGGTCTCTCTGACCTCTCGCTTCTTTTTTCAAGGTCATTTGAGTCAAACAACCCAAGGCATGTGCACCCAGCTGGAGCATTTCAGGCGCAAACTCTGAAAGCATTCCCAAAGAAATTCGAAAGAAAGCCCAAAAAAACCAAAAGCAAACCATTCGGAGGGCCCTTTACCAGGTGTTCATCACGAAGACATCAATCTTCGGTTGTACATGCGGGACGCCGCAAACGATCATATCTGTATCACAGTCTGGAACGTTGGTAAGGCAAGGCGCTTTCGGTTGCTGGGATGGAAGTGGAGCCGCAGTTCTCCTGGCACCGCGAGGATGTAGCAGGGTAAGGGGGCATTCATTTTGGATGTCCCTAAAATCCTTCAAGGGTTTTCAGACCAGGTTCATCAGAGGTATCCAAATAAATCCGACAGAGTCAATGAGGCAGCCGCAAGGCAGCGCCCGTGTCAACATGGGAAAAGCAGCGTCATGAGGGGAGAACGTAATGCGAGTGATCCTCCATACTTTGAAGGCAATTCGACACGGCAAGGGGTGCGAACACAATTTTTGTGACCCGATGGCCCTAGCTGAGCTTATTGAACAAGGCTAAACCGAGCTCACCTTTGAAGCCCTACTTCCAGTTGAAATTGTTAGGATTTGTGCACATTTCGTGCCTAAACACTTCTCCTTGCTCGGCCGTGTCCCAGTGCCAGGATCACCATGGAAGAGATGGAATCCAGGCGTGCCGTGAGCTAGTGTTGACCGGGAAAAGGCCAAAGGACCTTGGATTTGGGCTTATTGAGGATGGCTTCTCAATTGCTGAGGTGGCTCTATTTGCCTACGACCCATTTCAAATATGTGTCGAGACTAGTTGGAGACTTGGTCAACCCAGATTTTATTTTATTCTGTGCCGCCTTTGCAATAAGAAGCTTGACATGCCACTCGCCAAAGCTCCTTGCAATGAAGAAAACCCACCGAAGCACACCAAAACGAACAACCACACACCAGCAGCATCACCAACGCCCAAAGTCAGGGATTCTGGGGATGCGGAGGTTCGTATCCAAACTTGCAAAATGCAACGGCTTTTGCACTTTTCCCCAAAGCACTCAAAGACACAAACACAAGCGAGCAAGCAAGCGAGGGAGCGAACGAACGAAAGAGCCAACG